TAGGTTAATTTGAAATAGGTTGCTTTTTCATCGAGGATTCGTCCTTTGAAGCAATCGATGTAGTGATGCCGACAACGCTGAATTTCTACATTTTTTCCTTCTACCTTCTAAACATGAAACGATCCCATTATTGCGCCCCAATTGCAATAGCTGGCTACTTGCCAGCAATTGCCAGCTATTGCAATTGGGGCGCATTTACTGCGGGCATGTTCATACAACTCGTCCAACGAGCGTCTTCCTCCATTGCTAAGTGGCGAGGGGAGCCCCTGTCTAAGTCCCTGTTCGACGTCTTTTTTAACTTTTCTTTCATTATTGGTCAACTTTCACCCACAACTTCATTATCGGTGGTTTTTGCCCGCGAATTCGTTCTTGGACTGTTGCTTTAATCTGTCAACACTATAAATTTTACAGTGTGTTGGCAAGCTTTCATTTGTCATCCTTTTCTTCCGCACTTACGCGACTTCCTCTATTGATCTATCACATCATAACTGTGAACGACATGGTTCATCGTACGAGCAGATGTGCTTCAGTTTAGCAGAGGTTTTATCGCTACGACATTGGCAGCTCGGTTCATTCCTCGTTTTCGTCCTCATTCTCATGACCATGTTAATAAAGAAGAGTAGTGAAAGTAAATACAAACCTATATGAATAGGAATACATGTTCTTCTTGGCGCATTCACCTCAAAAACTTTTTTGATGTCAATTGTAGAGAAAGGGTAGGATTTGCTATTTTATAATCTTTACAAGTTAATTTGATCGGAATTCCACTATTATACAGGGTGTCCCAAAATTACTTGCGCCAAATTTCAAAAATTCATTAGAAAAGGTATATCGATTATTTTCATTTCGCGCGCTACTAAATAGTTGTGCAGGTAGGTTCTCTTGTGAACTGCATCGTTATTGGGGTAAAACTGCCAGTATCTCTGAGATGGCGAGAGGTGATCCAAGGTGACCTGCGATCATTCGCGTGCGCGAGAAGAGACTGCATCGTAGGACATTATTAAATTTCTTGATGTTCCCGTGAACACAGTAAAGTGGCCAACAAACGATGCAGGAGAATAAGAACACTCATTCACAAGCCTGGACAAGGAAGAATGGTCAGCGTTTCACGGATAGAATTATCGAAATGTTTGCTTAGCAATCCACGGTGCTCCATCAGAAGGATGGCGAGGCCGCTGAATTTATCGAAGTCATCGATGGGGCGCATCATTAAGGAGAAGCAGCACTGCCAACTCTATCACATGCAGAAGTGCCGCTTCATTCTGTTCAGCAACAAACAGCAGAGAGGCCGAAAAGTTGGAAGGTTACTAGCGCGCTTCACTGGCGACACGCAACTCTCGATCGTTTTTTCTGACGAGAAAATATTCGCTGTGGAGATGCCAAAGCGATCACATTCTAGCAGAAATATCGGGAGTGTCATCTCACGAGGGAAAGATTGTTGGAAGAACGGCTAACTCGGCATCAGTAATGAATTGGATGTGAGTCGCGGCCAATGGTGAGATGCCGTTGAATTTTGCCGATTCATGTGTGAAGATCAGCAAGGACGCGCGTATTAGTGAACGTTGAACCTTGATCCAACCCCCACTTTGGGAGCAAGCCGTGGTGTTGCTAGCAGGACAGTGCTACAGCCTATGGGGCCAAGCTCGTTCAAGGCAGGTGCGAGCTGCGAGCTGCCCGACTTCGTCGCCGCGAGGAATGGCCTTCTTGCTCCCCTAATCTTAATCACTTAACTCTCAGTCTGGTTTGTGATTAAGAGCAAGGCATGTCGAGCTCGTCATATGAATCTGCAACCATTGCAAGCAGCATCAAAGGAAGCCTGGGAAGAATTGGATAAGGAACACCTGCGTGCAACGTGCGAATGGTGCAAGAAGAGACTCCGGGCCTGTATTCGTGCAGGTGGAGGACATTTTGAAATCTGGTATTCACATTCATTTATCATCCTGTGTCCAACAGTTCGAAAAACACTGCAGTAAATAGACTCACGTAATTTTGGGACACCCTGTACATCAACTGACCTCTACGCATTAAATATTGCTGAAATGGCTTTGTGCCATTCATGTTCTGCGTAGCCGTCACTCGTAATTCGCGGATAAAGTGAGGCGGCTGCGCTCTCAAAATCGCTACTGCCCCACGAGGCCAGAAAGTCGACAGCATTTTCACGGCCAGAGCTTCACAGTTGGAACTTCAAATGAAGATCTCCATACAAATACTGTCAAATAATAGGTCGCTAATTGGTATTTCAATACTATTGAAAAGAAACCATAAAAGTTTGCAACTGGGAATTTTATGCTAATCACTGCTAACGTCAAGTAGTTGTCTCTTAATGTTCCTGGAGTCAAGAAGCTCTTACGTTTATATAAAAATGCCGACCATGTTCATTTTCGAGGGTTTCTCTCCAACTTGAGCTGCCTTATTGTTAGTTGCCGACTGAAAAGTGTTGCAATGCCGACCTGTTCAGCGCAGTCGACGACAACAACTTTTATTCAAAGTGTTCTCGTGTTGTCTTTTTTTGCACAGTTAAACAAATCATAACCGCCTTTCACCAGAGAAGAGACTTTGCGATCGTGGACAACGGAACACTAACAGGTCTCTCATTTTCCTCAACACTGTTTCAAGACTGTTGCAAGGAATAGTCAAACTTTATTACAAGAAGAGTGTCAATACTGTACCGTAAATGAGAAACATCTCACGCATCTTCTATATGCTAGCACTTGTTCATAATTTAAACAACTTCAGTTTTCTTAATAGGCTCCCCATTTTCGGGAAGAGGAACCGCTGAGTTTGCATCACTTGGCTCCGTTTTCTTATTTTCGAGAACTGGAACCCCTGAGTTTGCATCACTTGGCTCCGTTTTCTTATTTTCGAGAACTGGAACCCCTGAGTTTGCATCACTTGGCTCCGTTTTCTTATTTTCGACATCTAGATTTGCTGAGTTTGCATCCCTTGGCTCCGTTTTCCTTTTAGGCATAAGTGGCTCAAAGAGCATCTTTTCGAGCTTCGCAGTAGGAACTTCAAATAAACAACTCCATATGAATGCTGTGAAGTAAGAGATCGCTATAACTGGTATTGTCCGATAGACGTACTGAAAGTAAAACAATTAAACTTTCAATTAAAAAATTTTCTATTAGGTTGTCCAAAAAGTAATGCAGGTTTTCGACCTCCTCCTACAAGCTCTACACATGTCGTCAGCAGCTTAAACTCAACGTTTTTAGACACAAACCGCCGGAAGCTACACATCTTCTACGTAAGATCGTGTTATATCGAAATTCAGCAATATATAAGAAGAGAATAAAATGGGCTCGCCAATT